TATTTTACATTTAGAAATGTAAAGATGGGCGGCAGAAAGAATAAAGGGAAGGAACAAACTTTGAAAAAAAAAAAAAAAAAAGCTGCTTTGCCGAGTGTCTCCAAGCTAGGAGTGGTGACGACTGCTGCTCATGTGCCTTGCTGAAGCAGTTCCCCCCTTCCCCGTCTCCGCCTGCCTCTCCTTTCCCTCCACTTCTTCCAGTGGCTCAGGATTCGGCTGAGCCGAGACTTGCCCCCAGCTGAGCACCCTGGGCGCCGGTTGGTGCAAGCAGGGTGCCTGGTACCCTCTGGAAGGGAGGGGGAATTTCTCAGGAATTGGGTTTCTGGACCCTGGGAGGGGAAAGGATGGGGGAGGGGGTCTGCTCATGGCAAGAGGCTGTTTTCTCCTCAGGTGGGTTGGCTGAGAGGGGAGAAGTCGGGCAGGGGTTCCTCCATCTCACCTCCCCCTCTCCCTGGTCGGGATAAGATGCAGCAAACGCTTTGGTTAAGAGGGCTGGCGGCCATCTGCCCCTGTACGGGATGTGACTAGAGGGCTGTGCTGAGAAGGGTGGGGCAGGGGTGACCGCGTTTGCCTGGGACGCAGGAGACTCCGGTTCAGTTTAGGGATGTTACATTTTGTTGAAGCAACTAACCGACTAGTCGATGGATTTTCCATCGATTAGTTGAGAAGCAAGGGGGTCGCAGCGGGGTTACCTCCCAGCCCCAGGAGCCAACCCCACTGTGGCTCTGCCTTTTAAATGTATTAAGAGCCTGCCATCTCTTAATACGTTTAAAAGGCTGGAGCACAGCGGGGATCCGGCGCAAGCTGTCCTGGCTCGTGCTGGGTCTCCCCATCTGCCTCCCTCCGCTGTGCACCAGCCTTTTAAATGTATTAAGAATTGACAGGCTCTTAATACATTTTAAAAGCAGAGGCGCAGCGTCTGGGACGGGGTGTGAGCTGGAAATCTGTCAGAGGCAGCAAAGGGGGAGGGAAGTGACTAGTCGGCTCATCACTTACATCCCTAGTGTGTGACTCTGGGCAGGTCCCTCGGTGTGTGGTGCCGCTCCCCAAGCACTGATGGGGGGTGCTTGCCCTGCGGGTCTCGGGTGTGGGGAGAAGCGCATTGAAACCTCTACGCTGCATGGCCACGGAGCTGCCTGTTAAGCCCCAAGCAGGGGTTCAGGGCTGCCGGGGGAGATGCCTCTCCCCAACCTCTGGACCTGCTGTGGTGGCAAGGATCGGTCCCGGTACTGAACTTCCGTGGTCAAGGGAGAGGTGCCCCTTCCCTGGCCCCCACCCAGCCAGGTGTGCCAGGGCCATGGAGTGGCATCCAGACCCACTGGAGTTGCCACCGCCGTGGAAAGGGGCTGCACCCACG